GAAAATATATGCAAACTTCAAGACCTCACATCTCTCTTGTCAGTTAGGGCCTGTTATACAGTATGGAAGAAAACTTTATTTCTCAAGATATTTTTGTTCTTGTATTTTGTGTTCACTCATAATTCATAGTGGGTTGCAGGTGCCATGATCTGTTTGTGAACTTCTGTTTTATGGATGTATACACACAACCCACCCCATTCAACCCACTAGTAACAATTTATAATATTTATATACACTTTACACAGTATTGTTTGCTTCTTTGTCAGTGTTTAGATTCCTCTCCAATCTTAGGCATTTTACATTTAGCTTCTGGGTACACCACAAGAGTGTAAGATTTAATTGAGAGTAGGAGGGGCATGTGGGAAATGGGTGCAGTGGATAAGGGCAATGTTGCTGTCTGATTCTCCAGCCTGGACAGCAACAGTCAGGCCTGTCCACAGTCTCATGTATTTATTGCACCCAAAATGCCCTTCATAACTCAAGTACTTTGTCACCACCTCTCTTTTTTGACCTTGTCTGTTACGTTTTCAGCCTTTTGCTACCCCTCTCATACAGGCCTCCCTGGTTGGGGTTTTTATTCCTTCAGTGGTTAGAGTACAATTGAGCGATCCCTTCCCAGTTTTTCCTTCTTACTTAGCTCTAAAGGATGGAGCTAGATGCAAGTGGGGACACAATCTTAATGGGTCATCCACCTAGTGATACCCCAGCACCCTAATAATAGGGGGTGGGGAAAGGGGGGAAGGGATACTGCTTCTAGTTGCAAATAGGTTTCCCCATTGTTTTCAGTGGAAGGGGCGAGTGCATGCACATGCATGTGTATGTAGGGAGAAGTGGGTTAGGCTCTGCATATGTTACAACAAACTGTTTTTATCTTTCTTTAAAACCTCAATGTAGACTGCAATTTACTTAGCAGCATTAGCTGGTCATTGCTGTGGAAGCCCATCTTGATGCAGCTTGCTTGCATTTTTGCTTAGGTCTAGGTGGTGCTAGTAGACATTTACAGTCACACTAAATTAACTTGTATGTAAGTACGGAGAATTTTAGGAGGAAATACTCAGCTTGTACGACTTCCATAAATAAATTAACCTTTCATCTGTAGCTTTGTTTTCATCAGGAGTGGTGTGCTATAATTTCTGATTTCTCCTAACGTGAGGAATTAAGCAGCTGGAAGAATGGTTCATTACACATACAGTAATAGCTGGATTTACTCCCTGATAGATATATAAAACATTCCACTCCCACCCTTTGAACATGGTTTCACAAGGATCCAAGTCTTGTTGCAGTGATGGAAAATATTATGATTAAAATGCAACATTGTTCTCCTAATCAGAAGTAAAACATTTGAAGCTACTTGTGACCTGAGCGCTGAAAATAATCCTATTTTAAAGCACCAAAGTATTTGTACCCTTTAAGAGGGGCACAGATTAATTGAGGAGGAAACAAATTCCCCTACCTTTACCCCAGCATATTCTCTGGCAGGTTTTATGAAAGTGTCCTCAGAAACATCTTTTTTTCTCAGCCAGCTTTTAGAACCTTTTCCCATGATTCTGGTTCACTATTTCAAGCCCACGGGGGCAGGAGGTGCTCTCCATGTCAGTATAAAAACAGCAGTACCACTGCCCGTTTCTGTAGTATGGGATGATGGCTTTCTATGTAAAATGAATAGCAGAAGCCAAATCCCTAGCAAACTCCATGGAGTTCTCCTTTTCAGGAGGTATTTTCAAAGTTGTAGTATTTAGCATTTCATGCGTGACATGTTCTCTAACCCTCCCATTCAAAATTGTTTTGTACTCTAATTTCTCACCCTCCATCTCTGCCTTATTGCTTTATTAGCAGCCTTCAGCTTTTGGCCTAGAGAGTGGCACACGATGCCAGTTTTTATTCCTGGGGACCATGTGTGCCACCTTTTGGAATACCTCATTTACATGTATTCAGGGGAAGTCCAGACTGCTGTCATTTCTAGGTTTGTATGGCAAAGCAGCAGGCCTCTGCCACTAGGACAGACGTTCTAAGAAAAAATGCTTTTCATTTCTGTATTGTTAGGTTACCAAACCGCTTAATGATACTGCAGATCGAGTGTGCTTTGCAATCATTGACCTATGCAGTGTGTGAGAAATTATGGTTCCCACAGCTACCTGCTTTTAAATGTCTTCCTATGCATGCAAACTTGCAACCACATTTTCATGGTTTCTTGCTAATTTTAATTTCCTTTTGGTAGAACAGGTTGATAAAGGTAATACATGTTTTAGAAGGTTAAGCTTTCTCGTATTTCAGGAAATGAAATCTATTTGCGTTATTTAATATCAGATTGTGGTATTTCTTGCAAAAAAGTTGACTTCATCCAAAACGGAATGTATGTCCTAGTTCTGCATGTGCTTCTGCTATATTAATGCAAAAGTGTCCAGGATTTTACATGTATTCATAGATAGCTAGGCACAGATCTAGCTAGGATTTAGGCCCGAAGAGAAGTTTTATATGTGTACTGCCAATAACATGTATGCAGTATAGACTTGGAAGTGGTCATTATTTATGTAAAACTCAGGTCTGTGAGCTTCTTTTTTTGTCAGTGCACAGTTTTGGTAATGTATCGCTGTGATCATCATCATGGTTCCTCTTTCAATGTCGTAGTTGACTATGTTGTAGATAATGAGTGAAAGTAGTTCAGAGTACTTCAGACTATTTTAAAGCACTTTTAGTAACTTTATTACCAGATCCTGCAAGTCATTCTCATAGCCACTAACTGTCATGTTGTTACAAAAGCATCATATCAGTGTATTGCAGCTCAGTGAGCTCTGAAAGGAGGAACAATCAGTTTGGGTGATAAAGATGACATATAGAAGACAGAAGCTGAGATTTATTATAGGCAATTTGCTAGAGTGGCAGGCAGCACTTAAAGGTCACTTGTCTCAAATAAAGCTTATACCTCTTTCAACTTTGGAAATATTAGTCTATTTTCTTATACATAATACCCTGCATCAAATGACTTTTATAGCAAAACATCACAAGGTTCAGCTTGAACATTGCAAATTCGTTCATGTGTTTTGTAAGCAATAAGAATAAATGCAGGTGCTAACAGTGGTAATGAATTTCTGTTCTATAACATTTTTGACTGGTGGTACCCTTAAAAATATCCCCTCGGTTTGTAAAGGGTATTTCATATAAAATTCTTAACTATGCAGTCATCATACATTAGGTGTTGGTGGGGAGTAGGGGGTTCATTTTGAGAGGCATTACTTGCTCCAGCAAAATCCTTTATCTTTCTACCATAAGAGTCTATCAAAACAAGAAATGTTCAGTGCAGCCAACTCATTTATTAAATAATAGACATGGAACAGTAATAGCTTTAGAGGCCCTGGCTCCTTTTTGTGGCATTTGATAGTGTTGACCATATGTTACTGCTGTCCAACCTAGAACAGGAGATGGGGGGCTGGAGAGAATGCACCAAAATTGTTTCAAGTCATTTCTGAAAGGACTAGCAGTGGAAACTGTACCTTTATCACCAGCATTGGTTGCTGTAGTATACGAGTTGTGCCTTCATTGTGTTCATAGACATCATGGTTTAATGGAAGGATTTGAAGAATGACAATGTAGTAACTTTGTCTTATGCCCACTAATCTAATAACTGGAGGCTGTGATGGTATCTTACAGCATATGATAGAAGGTTGTATAAAACCACATTTTTAGAAGATAAAAATATTCACTAAGGCAGGGGCGTTAGACAAGCAGACTGTGGAGCCATTTCATCTGGGACTCCTACCAGTGCTGGGAATTTAGAGGTGGGGCCAGCCACTGAATTGTGGGGTATGGAGCCTTGTTGGGGTGTGTATCAGTGGCAGGGGTTGAGCAATGGGTGTGCAAACCCCTGTGCTGCTGCCACTTGCCCCGCTGCTGGTGGTGCGTCTGGAGCCCTGCAGTCTGGTCCTGGTCCTGTACTAAGGCAATAAGAAATGCTTAGTACTTGTTACAGTGCTTCAGTTAAATCTGAGCTGTCTCTTGCTTTGCCTTTTTTCTCCCGTTTTTGTTGTGTAAGAGGTCATTTCACAGCATATGTCAGCTCTTCAGTGGATGTGCTGACAGATACCCGATGTACCTTTTGGCCAGTATATTGAATTTTGTCAGCTGAGTGTTTTGACCTTCTTACCGTTCTCAAATCATGAAAATGGAATATTTACTGAGACTGTAAAACTTTGGTTATTAAACACTCTTCAGAGTTGAAAGTTTCCACGTCCTTGGAACAAGTGCACTGTTCACGTCTTCTCTTGAAAATATTTTTTCCCCAGTTTTTTTCAAAAGGACAAAATATCTCCACTTCCAATTATATCTGAAAATAATGTTATAGTTCTACTCAGGCAAGTTAATTCATAGTCACCTTTTTTAGATGAAAATGTAATAAAATTGGAAAAATCCAGTGATCCTTGTGTAAAATAGTGGCGTTAGGGTGCTGGAATGTCATAGCTGCTATTGACTAGCAAGCTTCGCTTGTTTCAGAATTTAGGAGATGAATCCAGTTGATAAACAGCTTAGGTAAGTAGTAAATTCAAAGACAGATGCATTTATCGTACAGATTTAACAGATAGTATATCCATGGCAGTTCCTATCACTTTGTGTAAGCAAAAATATACCCATAATATCAAAGGGATCTTTCAGTCTCATTTGTAAGCTGTTTGTGGCAGGAACAACTTGTTTTATATTCACATGTGGTCCTGATCCTTGAACAGACACCTGCACATTGCTGTAATAAAATAATAATAAATAATACAATGCAACTGTTTACCTCATTTAATAAAAAATGAAGCCACACAAAAATATGTGAAACGTATCTGGAAACTCACATAACATTTATGGTTGGGGCAAGCTTTTATGCAAGTTAACATTTTCTCCAGATCTGGCTTATAAAATAAGTGTGATGCAGACATTTAAAAAAAAAAAAAAAAAAAGCTTTATGCAGTAACTTGTGTTCAAATCAGACTGACACATGTTTGCTTTCCTTCTCTTTACAGCTTCCAGCAGATCTTACCAAGATGCAGATTGCAGACAATCCACATCCACAGGTGACTCATGTCCCTTCCAGCCAGTCTGGATGTAGCATTGCCAGTGACTCTGGGAGCAGCAGCTTGTCTGATATATATCAGGTAAAATTGCGGAAGTTTGTTTTACTTATTTTTACAGGCAGTGAACACTTGTAGCATTCCACATTTTGCCTCATCAATAAGATATCATTTTTAATAACTGTAATGTCAGTTACTTATAGGGCAGCTTTATGGAAACATTTCACTTCCAGGCAATACATTTAAGTAAGTGCAGTATAACTAGGACTGTGCACATAGATGATTTTACAGTTCATTATTCTTTGGTATGAATAGAAGGTGAATACGATGCATGTAATATGTTTTGGATACTTGTAAATATTTTAGGTCATAATAGTTGGTTGTAGTTTGGAAGCTCTTGGTACAGACTCACAAAATGCAAAGCTAGCTTCACTTCAGACAAGTCTATAAGAGCAATTTGACCTCCATTTACTTGTCTCAAGGTGCAAATTCTTCTACTCTTAGGATCTGTCTCCAATATGCAATGTGAACCAACCAGGTCCCATTAGATTTCAGGCACCCGTATATTCTCCCTTTGAATACTAGTGACTTTTTATATATATGTGGACTAATGTCATGTTCTCTTTTTTATCCAAGAGATTTATTTCACTCTTGGCAGATTTTCACCTGCTTGCCCATCATCCCCTGCCCTTCATCCCTTGCTTGCCCTATAGAACATAGCATATTCTAGATCTACATTATCCCTTCCAAAGATCCTCCGGTCTTAAGGCCCCAATGGTGTGGAGAGACGAGTCATTTATCTTAGAAATCTCTTAAGGATCTGATTGCACGTGTCCCCTGTGGCAGTGTTTCTCTGTTTTTCAACCCATGGGTCGTGACCCAGAAGTGGATCGTAAGAATATATGAAAGCGTCTTGAACAAACTTTAAAAATGGATTCTCTTTTAAAGGGGAAATCATGGCTTTTCCCTTGCAGGCTGAGTTCTAGTCTTATCTCCAGGTAAAAATAAACTAAAAGATTTACTAATATGCTAGGGGCCTAGGGCTGTATTCTTCAGTTTAAGATTGAAGCATAAACAAATATAACTTTATTGGAATGAGTCTTCAGGGCTGTGAAATAGGAGCAGGTAACATACAGCAGAATTTCAGGAAAAAAGCTAGCTTGCTTAGTAGAACATCAAGACAATTAAAAGGGAGAGAAATACATTAACACCTGCAGAAGGAAGAGTTTAGAAGGAATTGGGTAGATTATAATGATCCACAAATTTAGTTGACTCAGTGCTGCGTGATCAGAAATGCTGCTGCCCCTTCAGGCAGTTGATTTTAAACTTTGGGTGAAGCAGGAATCAAAGTGGGGTGCAACTGCACCAGTGCATCCCTTCTCTTCCTCCCAGATCCGCCCCGGCATAGTACAATATTGTGTAGCATAGTTTTAATTCTGTAACAATGGGGCTCTCTCTAAGTGTTAAACTGTTCAGTTCTGAAATTTATTTTCTTTTAAAAATAGTTCATTAGTTGAATTAACTCTGGAGAAAAGAAATTTTGATAACATAAATATGCGGGCCGGCTCCCGGTCCCATCCTCGCCGGGCACGAGCCGGGCGCACGCACGAGTCTGTGTGCACGCGGGCTGTGGCCGTGCGGGCTGTGGCCGGCAGCCCGGGCACGCAGGGCCAGAGAAAAGTTGCGGGGTGGAGTAGTACGCTCGAGCTAGAATCAGTCACGGAGGCGTAATGGTTGATTGAAAAGATTATTTACTTACACCGGAGATGGTCGCGGTGCAGGCTGGTCAGCTTTCCAGGCACAGCTCCGCTTCCTTCCTCATTGGAGGACTCTGATAAACTCGGTTCCTTGACCCCAGAGTGCTTTAGGCTTTGCGGGTTTAGGAATTCTTTTCTCGGTTCTTTTCTCACGGAGCAGCTGTATCTCCATGGGTTCTTGTTCGGTACCCAGGTCCCCCGGAGCTGTTAAGACTCCGTGGGTTCAAAAATGGGGTTGCAGGATAGGGATACGTCTGGACTGCGATCAGTGATGGGGAGAGGCTAGAGGCCGTCGGTAAGTGGTGCCCCGGAGTTTGCTAGGCTCCGGGGGTTCGGCAATTGGAGCCTCTATCGCCTTCTTAAGAAAGACGCGCTGGGTTCGAAAGGACCCACAGCGCTTAGAGATCCGTCTCTC